TATCGGTCTTTTCGTGAAGGCAGACTGGACTCATGGAATCCTTCAGAATCTTAATGTAGACCCTAGAGACTGAAGGTCCAGTTGTTAGTGCACAGCTGTCCAGGAATAGGACGTGGAGGGGCGGGGTTTGCACTGCTCCCCTTGCAATAGGAATCTACTAGCTGGTGTCCTAGGGCTGGAAGGTGCTTCCTTCTCCAGGTTCTGATGAAAAAAAGGAAGTCTATTTGTGTTGGGGCCTGAGAAGTCACTGAGGCCCAAGCTGGGAACCTACAGATGTCTGCTGTCGCCATCTTCCGCCATGGCTAAGAATTATGGGAAGAAAACTCCCTGGCGCAGTGATATTTGAAACTCCATCCAGATGATGGCAGTAGTGGTCCATGAAAGAGCAACTAGGCACTTCACTCCCGCCCTTCTTGTCTGAAAAAAAAAAAACGTGATCCAGAGACAAAAGCCCCAAAGAAAGTTGGCTGGCCTGAGTTCACCCAGCTCTGAGTACTTTATTATTTCATACTGGCCTTTGGACATCAGATTCCACTATGTTGTAGAGAAAAATCGGCCCTTAAAAAGCCCACATCTAGCAACCTATAAAACCAACTCATACATTGCCTTCCTGACGCACAAGGCAGATTTACAGGCGCAGACACCTGAATGTGCCAGCTCACATTACATGCCACATTTGGTGTTTCTCTGAGTCTGGCACTTTGCTTTGCGTGGTGACTTGTTCTCTACACTTTCATTTTCCATATTTTTGCCGCCATGCATTGTGCAGCCCTAAACATACAAACATCTTTGTAGCAGAGTATCCAAGAGTAAGTTTTACTGTGGCCTGGTGCCTGGTTCTGGCATTCGCTTTCACCTGAAGATATTATTATTGTACTCAAATCTATTAGAAAAGTAGGTAACATTTGATGAAAGTAGATGAATTTTTTTTTTAATTCAGCCTTGGGTGCCTAAAGAGATCTCTCAGTGGTCAAGTGCACCTTTTGCTTTTGCAGAGATTCTAGGCCCAGCACCCACATGGCAGCTCATACTGGTCTGTAAGTCCAGTTCCCGGGGCTAAGATCCCCTTTTCTGACTTCCTGGAGCGATGGCACTCAATTTGTAGACATACATTCCCGAGGGAAATTGCTGAAACACACAAAACCTTAAACTAAGTCAGCATCCATTGATGCTGTGTTTGTAGCTCAGTGGTAGAGTGTTTTCCTGGCATAGAGGAAGACATAGATTCCATCCCTAGCACACTGCAACTGGAATTGGAACCAGTCCTTGGCCCTGAGACTATGTCAGAGAATATCTAAGAAAGATCCTTAAGAATATCTAATAACTGTATGATTTAATATTTTATAGGATAATCAGTAATTTATTTACATTTTTACGTAAAGACAAATACTGGGGCTGTTAAGTGATAATGATGCTTTCTACCCAGCCTGAGCATATAAATTCCATCCCTGGAAATCTAACGGTGGAAGTGAACAGATTCTGCAGGTTATCCTTTCACATCTATACATCGGTCAAACACATAAAATCAACACATAATGTACATCAATTTTTAAATGGCAAGTAGATATTTTTTTTCTTTTTGATTCAGGGTTTCTCTGTAGCTTTGGAAGCAGTCCTGGAACTAACCCTTATAGCCCAGGCTAGCCTCAAACTCACTTAGATCTGCCTGCCTCTGCCTCCCGAGTGCTGGGATTAAAGGCATGTGCCACCACTGACCAGCAAATACATTTACTTTAATATATTTATTATATTAAAATATAAAAAATTTATTTTATATTTTAAATATATTTACTTAAAAATGTTGCTGCAAAACACTCAGCGTCAATTAAATTACAGCATATACATTATTCTTCAGGATGTTTTCAAAGAACCTATGTATCAAAGTTCTTGTTCGTACATGTAATATAAAGGAAGTGAAACAAACCTCCCAAAAGTTATCATTTATCTAACAAGGGATATGGAGTAGTGATAGCAAAGAAAAACTTTTTCCTAACACACACACACGAAAATGAAAGAAGTTGAAATCTGCTTCATCAGTTTCCTCTTGTAGTAGATGGGAACTAATATAGAGACCCATGTGTGGCCAACGTGCAGAAAGTGAGAGACTTTGGAACACTTAGTCCCAAGGCTCAGGGATCTTTGCAGAAGAGGAGGCAGTAAGGAAATAAGGGTCAGGGAAAGGGAGACAAGGGACAGTGTCTATCAGATACAATAGGAGTGATACATGTTACAATTCACAGAGGCCAGAGTGACAACGTGCACAGGGCCTATACAGGTTTAAGCTAAAGATGGTCCCAACCTTGAGAGTGGAAAGTGGACCCAAATCTGCATCCCTAAGCAAGAAGCTGTCTTCAGTTGACACCCACGTGCAAGGGGAAATTTTCATGTGCTCCAGTGGAGTCACGGCAGGCACATAAAAGACATTTAAGGGTAAGCCTCACATCCAGCAGGGCAGTGGCCATCTCAGAACAAACTCAATGGGATTGTTGTAGGTTTTTTCCTTTGGGCATTTACTCCTATTTTCCTTGCATGTTATGGTTTCTGAGTTTGTTTTTAGGATTTGTGTGGATGTCATTTTGTTCTGGTTTGTTTGTGCTTATGTGCTGGGAGGAAATGGAGGGTAAGTGTGATCAAAATATATTGTATGGAAAAATTATTTTCAATTAAATAGAAAGGAAAAATATTTTCTATCAAAGGATCTCTATTCCATGGGTTGAGAGGGGTGTCTATCTCTAGTTGAAATTCATAGCATGGGTAGGGACCAAAGATGTGAGCTGCTTGCCTCTTTTCGGTCTTTAGATAAAGAGTTGCCCACAATTCTACTAGAGTAGCAAAAATGGAGGCCCGCTACAGGGTAGAAGGTGAGCACAGTCATTTGGTGGCTCTTTATTTCACAGAGAATCTGCCTAATAGGCTAGATCGCAGAGTTCGATGTTATTTGACATGCTTGGTGATAAGTAGCAGGGAGGTGACAATTTAGTGTAAGAGAATGTTCACAGTGGAGATGGTAGGTTGAGGCCACAGTTTGATTTCATGGAACAACAGCCCAAAAAAAAAAAAAAAACACTGTGAGCTTGTCTCTCCCAAATGGATAAAATGTAAAGCAGCCATATTTCTTTTTGGTTTTTTTTCAAAGCAGAAGGGTGGGAGAAAATGTCTCAAAATGGCGATTTCATGAGCCCTTAGAACAACACTGCCACCACGTGGAAATAGTTTCAACATAGACATTACCATTCCTGCTTCCTGCATTCTCCTCAGAGAGGCATATAGAGGCATGGCACCTCATTACGTAGGTTCTGATGAGGAAGTTCTATAGTCTGTGTTTGAGTTAAGGCCTGAGGTGAAGGCAAGAAAGCAGTGTCACTATGTGCAGGCAGCTGTTGGTCCTCTCTGGGTGCTACACTCTCCATGTGCTGATAAGAAAGCTCTATTTACTGAGAAACTAGTATTAACTGCACAGCTGTCCTGAGGTCCAAGAGCAGGAAGTGGTGGGCGGGGTTTGCACTGCTCAGCTCACAATAGGAATCTACTAGCTGGTGTCCTAGGGATGGAAGGCGCCCCATTCTCCAGTTTCTGAAAAATAGGCGAGAAAACCCCACAGTCCATGATTCTGTAGGGGCCTGAATAGAAGTCACGGAAACCCAAGTGGGCACCCACAGTTTTAGCTTTCTTTAATCGTTTTTTCCCCCCACCCCATGGCTAAGAATCATGGGCAGGAAGTTCAGTGGCACTGTGAGTTATGAAACTCCATCCAAATGATGGCACTGGAGGTCCATGAAGGAACAAGTGGGTGCCTGTCTCCCGCCATTCCTGTCTGAAACAAAAAAATGCCACCAAGGGACAAAGATTCATGAAAACAGGGCTGCCCAGACTTTTGTCCATCTCTAAGTACTTTGAAAGCCCTGTGTGTGTGTGTGTGTGTGTGTGTGTGTGTGTGTCTTGTTTTCCACGTTTATTCAAACTGAGACCTAAGAGGTCACAGGACTCTCTCTGTTTCTTTCGTTATAACTCGTTAATCTTACCCATGCCAGAAACCTAAGCTGTTAAAATTTTGGTTCCATTAATTTGTTGTAGGTTTACATAATGAAGTTACGTTAGGAGATTGAGAAGCTAAAAATTATGTTGCCCCATACAGTGCAACGAAGATACGAAGATACATGATGCTTACTTAGCATGCCCTAGGCACCTGAGATTTATTTATTATACTGATTTTTGTGAGGCTACTTTCTATTTAGCCACTTTGCTTAATGTGTTTATCAGGTTTAGGAGTTACCTAGTGGAATTTTCAGGATGACTTCTGTCTACTCTCTTAATCTACAAGTAATGGTACCTTGACGTCTTCCTTTCCAGTGTATCATATGCTCTCCTTCAGTTGTCTTATCCCTCAAGGGAAGACTTTCTAAGAAGAGACAGGCCCCACCTAAGAGGTTCGGACAGGGAATTGGATGTAACCTGGCATGCTCAGTAGGAGGAAACAAACCCACTTACTACTTTGAGGGGGCAACTTAACTTAAGAAAAGATTCAGAGATGCCTGCACCAACATACCTGTCTTTAAATTAAAGAAAGGCATTTGAAACCTTGTATGGCTTCGAAGAAAATTTCTCACAAATCCATACTGAAAAACATCAGTTAAAAAAATGTTTTTTGAGAATGTACTTGGAGTACACAATTTCATTCTGCAGTTTTTCTCCCTACTTTCCTTGATATCCATGCTTACATTGACATTAAAACTCTGTGTAACCTTCTAAGGTTTCCCAACAATAAAGGTTTGAGGAGCTATGTATAACATAGTCCAATTTAGATGGAAATTTATTAGATATTCAGTTTTATTTGTAGGACAAAAGTCTATAGATACAACTCTGTGATTTTTCTGAGTGCCTGGATCAGGATATGGGTTGGTTACCAGAAAATCTGTGAAGTGAATCTGGCAGAGAATCAGCCTTCCTGGCTTCTAGATATGATTGACTGGCTGCATTTTCTTATTCTTCCTAGAACTGGAGCCTAAGATTTAACGTTGAACACCAGACAGTCCTACACCAGCATATGCACTGGAGGTAGAATCGGCTGGAGAGGAGGAAACTCAAGGCTTGATCACTGACTGGCCACTGACTGCTTCAAAACAGAGGAGGCCTGAGAAGGTGGGCACCTCAGCTCTCCATCTCCTTCCCTTTCCCTCCTGCTTCCATCAGTTTCCTATACTTTCCTTTTTCTCTTCTTTGGATTTTTTGCCTTTAGTGTTTTGATGGTGATTTCTGATGAAGGAACAGAGCTACTAGCTGTGGCACTCAGATAAAACTAAAATGGAGGCTAAGCTGTTAGTGAATCACTTTTGCTCTCTCTGAAGGAAGGAGAAACATTGTTGGACTCTGCTTTGGTTTGTGTGTGTGTTGTAGATTTTTTTCAAATAGGAAAGGCGGAGAAGAGCAATACATGGTCTTTTCAGTGGGGCAACAGTGCCATCATGTGGAATGTGTTTCCTTTATCCTTGTGCATGTATGCACTGCTTCCTCAAGACTATTTCCAGCCATATTTGAAAGTGTTGGTCAAAACGATTCTCAAGTGGCCTAGACTTGCCTCCTTCCGTTTTCTACTTTTTTCGTGTAGGCAAACTCGAGTCTTGGGTCCTTCAGAGACTTAATATAGACCTTAGTGTCCTAGTGCCCAGTTACTAGTACACAGCTGTCCTGAGATCCAGGAACAGGACATGGAGGGGCGGGGTTTACACTGCTCAGATCACAAATTGAATCTATTAGCTTGTGTCCTAAGGCAGGAAGCTACCTCCTCTCCAGGTTCTGGTGAGAAATCTTAACAGTCCATGTTTGTGTTGGTCCCTGAAGAGAAGTCAGGGAACCCGATTCGAGTCAGCACCTCCAGTTTTAGTGTCTGCAGTCACCATCTTCTGCCATGGCTAAGAATCATGGGAAGGAAGCTTAGCTCAGTGGGGCTGTGAGTTGTGAAACTCCATCCTGATGATGGCAGTAGAGCTCCATAGAGGAGCTGATGAGCATTTGTCTCCCGCCCTTCCTGTCTGAAAAAACGCCCTCCAGAGACAAAAGGTCCAAAGAAGATGGCTGTCTGGAATTTGTCTAGTTCTAACAACTGGTGTCTTGTTTTCCTTGTTCAGTCAAAGTGAGACATAAATTTAGCAGAAGAGGATATTTCTTTTTCTTTCTTCTTTTTTTGTTTTTTAATAACATTTCGTTTTTACCCTTGCCGAGACTTAAGGTGTTGTTACATGTTTGGTCCAGTTAATTTGTTGTTTTTGCATAATAAAGTTATGCTGAGAGATTGGGAAGCAAAGAATTATTGTATTAACTCCTGAGGTGCCATGGATACAGATGAGGGGATCATTGCTTACACAGCTTGATTTAGGCATTTGAATTGTTTTTTGTTTTTTTTTTTTATTTTTCCGAGACAGGGTTTCTCTGTAGCTTTGGTGCTTGTCCTGGAACTCCCTTTGTAGACCAGGCTGGCCTCGAACTCATAGAGATCCGCCTGCCTCTGCCTCCCGAGTGCTGGGATTAAAGGCATGCACCACTACTGCCTGGCTTGGTTTAAGAATTCTGGGATTAAAGGCATGCTTCACCATCACCCAGAGGCATTTGAGTTTTATATACTGCTACAAGTGACTGGGTGGGGTAACTAATAGACACACAGTTCATGCCACTGGTCGTTTCCCAATGCATAATTTTGGAAGAAACATCCATGGCAGTAAATCTTACCTATGGGGATTGAAATGTAGAAAAAGAGTCTTAATAGTTATTGAGACCTATTTATTTTGCTGTAATAGTTTTATTAATCATTTTACTGAATGTTTTTAAAAATGCATGCGACTCAGTTCAATGTTTTCAATGCATTCGAATCAGTTTTAAAATATCAAATGTTTTCAGTGATTTGATGTTGCCTACGTACTTCAGATCCCACAGTTTATTAGAGAAAAAAGGAACTTTCTAAATCCTGCTCCTAGTACCTTTACAAAATCTGTGTGTTGCATTCACATGTTAAGTGTAAATCAACTTTATATACATATTATATGACATCTAAATAATAATAATAAAATAAATTAAACCCAAACAAATTGGATTCTGACCCAACGACCAAAGACAAAAAGGAACTAGCTAGGCTGTGGTGGTGCTCATCTTTAATTCCAGCACTCTGAAGGCAGAGGCAGGCACATTTCTGTGAGTTCAGGATCAGCCTGTCCTAAAATGCAAATTCCAGGGCCACTAGGACTGTTACACAGGGAAATCCTGTCTCAAAAGAAGCAACAAAACTAAACTGAACTAAAAGAAAACAAAACAAAAAGGAAGCTAAAGAAACACAGAAACACACATGTTTGTACACACCGGATTACCACCAAAAACAAAACTGCAAACCAGTGTGTGTGTTTTGTGTGTGTATATATGTGTGTTTATGTGTGTGTATACACACACACACACACACACACACATATATGATCTCACCCCACCCCCCCATCAGTTTCCATGTACTTTCTTTCTTCCCTTCTTTGGATTTGTCTTTAGTGTTTTGATGGTGTTTTCTGGTGATGGAACAGAGCTACAAGCATTGGCACTCAGATAAAGTTAAAATGGAAGCCAAGACTTCAGTAAATTAATTTTGCTTTCTCTTAAAGAAGAAGGCAGGGTTGCCACAGTTGCTGGACTCTGCTCTGTTTTTTGTTTTTTTGTATTGTAGTTTTCTTTCAAATAGGAAAGGCGGAGCAGAGCAATGGATGGTTTTTTCAGTGGGGCAACACTGCCATTATCTGGAAAGTGTTTCAAACATTTACTTGTGCATGCGCACATTGCTTACTCAATGCTACTTCTAGGCATTTTGAAGGTGAGGGTCAGGGAGAGGAGACTCTTATTTTTGGCCTCCTACTATTGTCTTCCTTTTTCTGTAGGTAGGCTGAAATCATTCATTTTAGAGCCATAATCTAAACTCTATTGACTGAGGGCCCAGTTACTAGTGCACAGACTTCATGAGATTCAAGAACAGGAAGTAGAGGGGCGGGGTTTGCCCTGCTCAGCTTGCAATAGGAATCTATTAGCTCCTGTCCTAGGGCAGGAAGCCGCCTTTCTCTCCAGGTTCTGGTAAGAAAACTCTACAGTCCATGTTTCTCTTGGGGCATGAATAGAAGTCACAGACCCCAGTCTGCACCTAAAGTTGTAGTTGTCTGCAGTGGCCATCTACTGCCATGGCTAAGAATCATGGGAAGCATAGTTCAGTGGCGCTGTGAATTGTGACAGTCCATCCTGATGATGGCAGTAGAGCTCCATGCAGGAGTTGGTGAGCATTTGTCTACCGCCCTTTCTGTCTGAAAAAACGCCACCCAGAGTGACAAAGGTCTCAGAAAAGATGGTTGCCTTGGGGTTTGCCTAGCTCTGTGTCATTTGCAAAGTATTTTGTTTTGATATTTCAAATGAAGCCAAACTAAGGCCTAAACCTAGCAAAGGTAATGGAACTGTTCAACCTCTTCTGTAGCACATTTACCTGTCCTTTGTAATTGCTTTACCAATCTTCTTTAGTTTAATCTAGGCACCTAGCATTATTTAAATTTTTGTTAGTATTTCTTTTCTCTAACTTTTTTTTTATGAAACATACTCATTATAGTTTATTGCCATTCATCAGGCCTTAGATAGACAATCAGTCTTTCTCCTTTGTCTTTTCTTAGGATTCCATTCGTCAAGTCTCAAGCTGTTCTATGAGGTTTAGAAGCAAAGTTCCTTGGGGTTGGCATGTGCAGGGAAGTGGCTATAAATGATGTGTTGAATGCTTGAGTTCCATGTCCTAGACTAGGGGTGGTGGTGAGGTGGGGAGCTAGTTTTTGTATATGCCATGCAACAGAATATTACTGATTTCTAATATTGTAAGAAATATCCATGGTAGCTAGTTTCACTTATAATATGATTAGAATGGTATTGTAGAAAACAATGAGATATAATTATTTTACTTTAATAATGTTATTAATGTTTTACTGAGTGTTTTCTCTCTGTGTTTGAATCTATATTGGAGGCCAAGAGAATTCACCGAAAAATAAAATATGTTCTTAGTGATTTGATGTTGCTTATGGACATCTGATTCCTCTAGTTCCTAGAGAAGTAAAGTTAGTCTTTCTAATGACTTTATTGAGTCATCGGCAGGTAAAAACACATTGTATGTAAGTATTATATCTTAATAAAACTCTTCTATAACTCTTAACTTCAAGCTGGAAGCTCTTTACTTCAAACTTTATAATATTTATAAATAAATAACAATTGCATACACAAATTTAAATCTAGTTTCTGCATATGAGAAAGATAATATCGTTTTTATCTTTCTGAGCTCATTTTATTTGATATTTTTGTGTCTTTATATTTTACTTCAGTTCACGATTTTGTTTCTTTTCATGGCTGATTAAAATTTCGATCATCGTGCAGACTATATATTTTTCATATATTGATGAATATTTATGGTTGTTTCATTTCTTAGCTGTAGGCCATGATGCAGCAGTATCATGGAAGTGCAATTATATTTCATAGCAGAATGTATAGTCCTTTGAAGATATAAGGAAGAGTAAGATCAAGTTATCCTTTACTATGTTTTTTGCCTGGTTCTGATGTTATTATGACCTAGCTTCATTGTAACTGTACCAGAGATATAAGATGAACTTCAAGGGTCTAGGTAGATAGTTAGCAATTAAGAGCATGTAGAGACCTCAGGATCAAGACCTATTGGCTCACACCTATCTGTAACTCCATTTCCACAGCATCAAATTCTCTCTTCTGAGTTCTTGGAATTAAAACAGTCATTGAGTGTACATACATTCCTAGAGGTGAAACAATGATACATAGAAATTTCAAAATTAAGTCAACACGCATTGTTTCTGATTTTGTGGCTTAGTTAGTAGATTGCTTCCCCTGAATATCACATATGCCACTGTGTTTTACTATCAGCCACCAATACTATCAAGTCAGTGAATATCTAAGAGCAATCCTAAAGAATGTCTAAGAATATATGAACCTCTTGAGTTTTAATAAACACAGAATTTAAATGGTAGATGTCTGCATGAATGAAAACTTTTCAAGAGATGTATGTCTTATAGCTTATTTTAAATATATCTTAAATATCTTATAGTTTATCTTAAGATATGTCTATTATCTTTATGTAGATTGAAACTATGAAATAATACAGAGATTTCTCGTATCCCCTGTCTTCAGTGTGTACTGAGTTACAGTGCAAGAAAGCATTTACATTAAGTTATTGTCATGGATGTGTGCTACATTATTAACTACGTTCCTCATGATATAGGATAGTCAGTGCCATGTATTTGTGTTTATTTATGTAAACACGGATACTGGGGCTGTTGAGATGGTAGATGTACTTGCTTCCAATCCTGAGTACATGAATCCTGTATCTGGAAATCAAATAGTAGAAGAAACAGATTCCTGCATGCTGTCCTTACCATACACATGTGTTCACATGCATAAAATTAATAGATAAATGTAGATCAACTTTCAAAAGGGAAGGAGATAGTAAATATTTAAACATGTTAAGGTGTGATTATAATTACTTCGCATGTTGCTCCAACAGATACCTGGTGTTTTTTCAAACTACAGCATACACCTTAATTTGTAGTTTATTTTCAGAAAACCTTACAAAGAAGCAAATATATGTCTATTTAAAACACTGCAAGATAATCATCTAAAGGGCTTTAAGTTGGTTAACAGGCTGATATTCATGCAAACTTAGTATTTCTTAAACACTGGGTAGATCTGATATTTAAGGGATAAACTAACACACACATGCACACACCGCATGTATATGAAGATAATTAAAAGTAGTTGAACAGGGAGTGAGAAATGGCTCAGTGGTTAAGAGCACTGACTGTTCATCCAGAGGTCCTGAGTTCAATTCCCAGCAACCACATGGTGGCTCACAACCATCTATAATGAGATCTGGTGCCCGATTCTTGCCTGTAGGGATACACATAGGCAGATGCTGTGTACATAATTAATAAAAAAAATGTAATTGAACAATGCTTCATAGTAAAGAAATGTTTTTGTTGTTTTTATTTTAAATGGTGAACTGACAGATAATTGAGGTGTCTCTCCTAGTGGAAATTCCTACCATATGGGGGGACCACAGGTTGTAATGCACTGACTCACGTGAGCTGTCTCTTTTTCTTCTTAGATCCTTTGACAAAGTTGCCAACAATTCAACACAGATTATGAAAAATAGTGGTGGACTAGAGTGGCCTGCGAAGGTAACCTGGTAAAAGAGGAGGTGGTTATGCCAACTCGTAGCTAAGTCTGATCTTTCAGGACCGAAAGTTCCCTCTTCATTTTAGACAGGATCCAAGAATTTGATGAGCATAAACTGCTCAGTGGAAAGTACATACCTATATAGTAACAGGGTGGAGGTGATTTAAGAATGCATCCATTGTGGGGAAGTGGTAGGATAAGCCCAAGGTTTGTGTTTCTGTAGAACATCCAGGGAGTCAGTTCACAGTAAGGTAAGCTTGTCCTTCAAGTTGGGCAAAATGCATGGCAGCTGTATTTCCTGGCGACTTTCTCCTTGGTTGGCATTTTTTTCACACAAGAAGGGTAGGAGAAGAACTCTTGTCAGTGGCTCTGTGAACCTAGGTAGGACTCTACACTGCCATAAAATAATAGTTTCCACGCTGACAGCACCATTCCAGGTTCCTGCCTATTCTTAGGGCAAGGCCTCTCTGAACTGGCCTGGAAGAGGCCTTTCGGGCCTCGGAGATCCTGTGTATGCTAGTATTCTCTAGATAGTCTAATTATTGAAGCAGTTACATGTCCTGATTGAATAGTCTGGGGCTATGTTCTACTAAAATCTTAGGCTTTGTCATGACTGCAGCAAAAAAAATGGAAGGAGAATTTTTGAGTGCTTATTTTAATATGATCCTTTCCATTTTAGTATTTTCCTTTAACAAGCACTGCCTTATTTTTACAAATCTGTACAAGTGTGCTTCTTAAAAGAGGCAACACAGTTTAACAAATGATAAAAGTGAACTCTTGAAGCTATGGGTAGAGACTTGCCTCACATGCATGAGGCCTTGTGTTTGAGACGAGGCACTTCAGAAACAGTGGAGCCAGCACTAGAAGGTCGGCGAAGGAGCACCAGAAGTTTAAGGTCATGCTAGGCTACATGCGGTCAGCCTGGGCTGAGAAACTCCTTTAAAATAAAATAATAGAGAAAGGAGTAAAGAATTTAATGGGATTGAAGAGTTCAGTTTATATTTTTGACAATAAGTGCACGTTGATTTCTATGAAGAGTATAAATGGAAATATATCAGCCTGTGTTAGGTACCATAAGGATTACTGAGTGTAGAAAAGGGATCCCTTACAAACATATCTGTAGTAATAGAGATGCCTTCCTCTTGCCACTGAATTTAGAAATCTCAGCAGTCTTTTCCTGCTGTGCTTCCAATGTCTCTCTTAATTTTCACAACAGCAAAGCCTAGAACATAAACTTCTGGGCAGAAATACACAGATGAATAGCAAAAAGCCATCTGGAGACGCACTGAATGAAACCTTTTGTTTAGGTGGATTGCCAGAATGTGGGAGCTAGAGCAGTAAGAGCCTGATTCTATGTTAGACTCAGGTAGAGTATGTACTATGAGGTGTCTTCCAAGTAAGTCTGGGTAGTAGGGAGATTCTTTATTATACAAAAGGAGGAAGAAAGAGAAAAAACAAATAAAACTGTTTCACAACAATCCCTATTGTACTTTTTTTCAGACAAGAAGGGCAGGAACAGAGGGTACGACTGTTGCCCTCTTTGCAATGCAGCAACAGTGCCATCATGTGGAATGTGTTAAGTTTATCCTTGCGCATGCACACACTGCTCCCTCAAGCCTATTTCTAGCCATCCTTGAAAGTGAGGGGCAGCATGATTCTCCAATGGCCTAGCCTCACCTCCTTCATGTAGGCCGACTGGAATCATGGGCTCCTTCAGAGACTTAATATAGACCTTAGTGTCCTAGTGCCCAGTTACTAGTGCCCAGCTGTCCTGAGATCCAGGAACAGGAAGTGGAGGGGCGGGGCTTGCACTGCTCAGCTCACAATAGGAATCTACTAGCTGGTGTCCTAGGGATGGAAGGCACCCCATTCTCCAGGTTCTGAGAAATAGGTGAGAAAACCCTACAGTCCATGATTCTGTTGGTCTCTGAAGAGAAGTCAGGGAATCCGAATTAGCACCTGCAGTTGTAGTTGTCTGCAGTCGCCATCTTCCGCCATGGCTAAGAATCATGGGAAGGAAACTGAGCTCAGTGGGGCTGTGAGTTGTGAACTCCCTCCATATGATGGCAGTAGAGCTCCATGGAGGAGCTGGTGAGCATTTATCTCCCGCCCTTCCTGTCTGAAAAAACGCCATGCAAAGACAAAGGCCCCAGAAAAGATGGCTGCTGTGAGTTGCCCAGCTCTAAGTACTTTGAGAAGTATTGTGAGTGTATCTTGTTTTCTGCATTTAGCCAAATTGAGACCTAAATTTAGCAAAGAACTTAGAACTCATTTTGTTTTGGAGAATATTTCCCATTTCCATCTTTATACTACACCCCCCCCCCCCCCCCCCCCCCCCCCGGTTTTCTGCGTTCTAGATACTTTTGGTGTTCCTACAATTATGGTCCCATTAATTTTTTCAGGATTTACATACTACGATTATGCTAGGAGATTTGGAATCAAGGGATTATGTTACCCTGTGCAGTGCAATGGAAGTAGCTGAGGGGTTCATTCCTTGCACAGCACGCCCTAGGCCGCTGACTTTCAATAACTCCCTCTTGGCATAGGGTAAGGTATATATAGTATACTATTGGAAATTTACCAGGTCTTAATATTGACAGATAGATTCATGGAAGTAAATCGTATTCATGAGGACGGAATTGTAAAAAAGAATCAATGGTAATAATGAGATCTTTTAGCAGGGCTTCTGGTGGTATGTGCCTGGTACTGTTGTTACAAACCTTTAATCTCAGCACTTGGGAGTCAGAGGCAGGAGGATCTGTGAGTCCTTGGCCAGCCTGTTCTACAGAATGAGTTCTGGGATAGCCAGGACTACACAGAGAACCCCTGTCTCGAAAGACAAAACAACATCAACGAAAATGCTGGAATTATTTTATTTATCATTTTACTGAATGTTTTCCGTCTTTGCAAATGTTCTATAATAATAATAATTGTTGTTGTCATTATTATTTGGGTTTTGTTTTGAGGCAGGGTTAGTCTGTATAAAAGTCCTAAGTGTCCTGGAACTCACCTAGTAGACCAGGCTGCTTTAGAAGTCTCAGTGATCCCCTGGCCTCGGCCTCCCTGGTGCTGGAATTAAAGGCCTGCACCAGACCACCACCACCACCATTGCCGGCCTGAGAATCATTCTTGAGGCCAAGAAAATTAACTATAAACATCACATGTTTTCAATAGTTTGATGTTGACCGTGTAGTTAAGATTCCATATTTTAAGAGAAAATTGCCATGTCTGAAGCCTGATTCTAGTACCTGTACTCAAGTCTTCATATTATATTCACATTTATTAATGAACTACATAGACTCCTATAACTCCATCAGGTAGTTTTATATATTATAGAAAACAAACATCTAAAGAATAGTAATAAAATAAAGAAATAAGCAATGGATTATGACAAAACAAGTGAAAAAGAAAAGGAGCTAAAAAAAACTTACACAGAGACACACATGTGCACACACAAGAATTCCACAAAATCCCAAAACAGGAAGCTATAATATATAAAACAGAATGTGTAATTTTTGGGTGTGTGTGTATTTTAAATGCCCTGAGATTATTATGAGACAAAGAACCTCCAGATCTGTCATTGAGTTCATTTTGTATTGGCCATCTACTGTTAGGCATGGGGCCTAGGCCTTAATGTTTGTTTCACCAGTGTGCTTCCCTTGAGGAAAGCTAATTTTGCATTTCTAACTGGCTGTCAATGGGAAACAGTTTTGGGGTTAGGGTTGGAATTGTTTGTCATCTTCTCCTTTCAGCTCCAGGACCCCATCTTGAGCAGTGCCATGTAGGCCTTGTGCATGCTTCCTCAGTGTGTGAGTTGATATGTGTTGTAGCCATGTTGTGTCCAGAAGGCCTCAGTGGCATCCTCCATCCCCTCTGACTCTTAAACCACTCTATCCATCTTCTCTCCTGAGAGCTCCTGAGCCCTAATGCTGGGGTGGGGAAGATTTCATGGAGACTTTGTTCTCTTTCTCCTTCCTTCCTTCTTTCTTTCTTTCTTTCTTTCTTTCTTTCTTTCTTTCTTTCTTTCTTTCTTTCTTAAGGTTGAATATTTTAAAGTTTGTTACTTTCTGCATATTATATGACTGTTGGTCTCTATTTTTGTTGGCATATGCTGCAGGAAGAAGTTTCTCTGATGTTGACTGAGTAAGGTTCTGATCTTCAGTTGTCTGATCCCTCAAGGGAAGACTTTCTAAGGAAAGACAGGCCCCACCCTAGAGGCTGGGACAGGGAATTGGATGTGATGTGGCATTCTCAATGGAGGAAACAAACCCACTTACTACTTTGAGGGGGCAACTTAAGAAAAGATTCAGAGATACCTGCACCAACATACCTGGCTTTAAATTAAAGGCCTTTTAAACTTTGTATAGTTTTGAAGAAAACTTCTCACAAATTCATACTGAATAATACTTAAAGGAGTGCACAATTTCATTTTGCAAATTTTCTCCCTACTTTCCTTGATATCCATGCTTACATTGACTTTAAAACTGCGTGTTACTGTCACCTCCAAAAATCTCCCAAAAAGAAAGGTATGAGGAGCAATGCATAACATGGTTCAATTTAGATGGAAGTTTATTAGATATTTAGTGTGGATTTATAGGACAAAAGTTTATAGATCCAACTCTTTGATCTGTCTGAGTGGAACTTATCATCCTTTTAATATATGTGTCACTCCAAATACTATGGACCATTAAACCTTGAGGCCTGGGTAGTCAACCTCCAGCTGCACACCCAAGCCCTGTTACCTGGATCAGGATGTGGGTTGTTCCCAGGGAATCTGTGAAGTGAATCTGGCAGAGAACCAGCCTTCCTGGTTTCTAGATATGACTGACTGGCTGCATTTTCTTATTCTTCCTAGAACTGGAGCCTAAGATTTAACGTCGAGCACTAGACAGTCCTACACCAGCATAGACACTGGAGGTAGAATCGGCTGGAGAGGAGGAAACTCAAGGCTTGATCACTGACTGGCCACTGACTGCTTCAAAACAGAGGAGGTCTGAGAAGGTGGGCACCTCAGCTCTCCATCTCCTTCCCCTTTCCCTCCTGCTTCCATCAGTTTCCTGTACTTTCCTTCTTCCCTTCTTTGGATTTTTGTCTTTAGTGTTTTTTTTTTTTTAACAGAATCCATTTTTTTTTTAATATTTAACAATATTCTGTCTGTGTTTATGTCTGCAGGCCAGAAGAGGGCACCAGACCTCATTACAGATGGTTGTGAGCCACCATGTGGTTGCTGGGAATTGAACTCAGGACTTTTGGAAGAGCAGGCAATGCTCTTAACCACTCTTCAGCCCTGTGTTTAGTGTTTTGATGGTGGTTTCTGTTGAGGGAACAGATCTACTAGCTGTGGCACTCAGATAAAATTAAAATGGAAGCTAAGCTGTCAGTGAATCAATTTTGCTCTTTCTAAAGGAAGAATGCAGGGCTGCCACAGTTACTACACTCTGCTTCTATTTTTTGTATTGTAGTTTTTTCAGACAGGAAAGGCAGGAGCAGAGCAGTGCATGGTGGTTGCCTTCTTTGTAGTGGGACAACAGTGCCATCATGTGGAATGTTTCCTTTAGCCTTGAGCATGTAGGCACTGCTCCTTCAAGTCTTTTTCTGGCCATTTTTGAAAGTTGGGGTCAAAATGATTCTTAAATGACCGAGCCTAGCCTCCTTCCGTTTTCTACTTTTTCTTTGTGAAGGCAGACTGGAATCATGGGATCCTTCAGAGTATTAATGTAGACCCTAGTGATTGAGGGCCCAGTTACTAGTGTAAGGCTGTCCTGTGGTACAGGAACAGGAAGTGGAGGGGCGGGGTTTGCATTGCTCTGCAAAATCAACTACCTCTTGTCATAGGGCAGGATGCTGCTTCCTTCCTCAGGTTCTGGTGAGAAAAAGAACAGTGTATTTCTGTTGAGGCCTGAGAAGTTGAGAAAGGCCAAGGAGGCATCCACAGTTCTAGCTGTTTTGTAATCTCTATCTCCCGCCATTGCTAAGAATCATGGGAAGGAAGCTTGAGTGGTGCTGTGAGTTGTGAAACTCCATCCTGATGATGGCAGTAGAGCTCCATGAAGGACCTGGTGAGCGCTTATTCTCCCGCCCTTTCTGTTTGGAAAAAAAACGCTACCCTGAGACACAGGTCCCAGAAAAGATGGCTGCCTGGAGTTTTGCCCAGCTCAGTACTTTGAAAAGGGTGTATTGTTTTCTGCATTTATCTAAACTGAGGGTCAAATTTAGCCAAGGCTGTAGAAATATTTTCTTCTTTTATGGAAGATGTTTGTCATTTCACTATTTTTCACTTTTTTAGCTTTTTAGCATAATTAAAATTTTCTGGTACTGTTTTTCTTGTAATTTTTACACAATAAAGATTTTTCCTGAGATTCAGAAGGAAAGTAACATACAGGGCAATGGCTCTACCTGAGTGATTCAATAATTGGGTTTTATGCCCTAGGGCCTTGTTTTGGCCTCAATTCTGACTGCCCTTAGTTTTCCTATGTTGCAACTGTTTTAGTAGTATTTTATTTTTGTCTCATTTTCCATGTGACATTAATCTAAGGCATAACTGTAGTCATTCTCTTCCAACTCATTTTCTTGAGTTATGTAGAATATTCCTGTTTCCTTGTTTTAACCGTTCATTTTCACCCGTTTTAGGTACTTAATGATGTCCTTAATGGTTATGCAATATTTTTTTTTTTAATTTTCACACAATAAAGATGGGTTTAGAAAAAAAGTAAACCTCCCCTCCCTTCCTCTCCCCTTCCTGTTGACCTCCTCCTATGGTGATATCCAGTTCTGCCAGCACCATTTGTTAAATATACTTTCTTTTTTCCATTTTATGTTTTTTTTTGCTTCTTTGTCCAAAATTAGGTGTTTAATATGTGGATTAATACCCGGGTCTTCTATTCAGTCCCATTGGTCCTCCTGTCTGTTTATGCTGATACTAGGCTGTTTTCAGCACTGTAGCTCTGAAGTAGTTTGAAGTCAGGTTGTTATCTCTCCAGAAGTTTCTTTATCGTACAGGATTATTTTGACTATCCTGGGTTTTTTGCTTTTCTATATGAAGCTGAGTACTGTTCTTTCAAGGTCTATTAAGTCTTTTGCTAGCTTTTGCATTATTTCTATAGATTGCTTTTGGTAAGATTACCATTTTTTTACTATTTTAATTCTATCTACCCAAGAGCATGCTAGATCTTTCCATTTCTTCAATTTCTTTCTTTCTTCAAAGTTTTAAAGTTCTTGTCATAGTGGTCTTTCTCCTGTTTGGTTAATGTTAGCTCAAGGTATTTTATGTTATTTGTGGCTATTGTGAAGCGTGATGTTTCTGATTTCTTTCTCAGTCCATTTTTCATCTGTATAAAGGTAGGCTATTGTTTTTTGTCGTTGTTGGTTAATCTTGTATCCTGCTACATTATTGAAGCTGTTTATGAGTTGTAGAAGTTCCTTAGTAGAATTTTTGGGATCACTTATCATTATCGACTGTGAATAGTGTTAGTTTGACTTCTTCTTTTCTGATTTGTATCCCCTCGATCTCCTTTTGTTGTCTTATTGCTCTATCTATGACCTCAAAAACTCAAAGTATATTGAACAACCTTGTCTTGTTCCTGATTTCAGTGGGATCACTAATTTCCTTTTAGTTTGATGTTGGCTGTTAGCTTGCTGTATATTGCCTTTATTATGTTTAGGTATGTTTCTTGTATCCCTGCTCTCTCCATGAAGGGATGTTGTATTTTGTTGAAGGCTTTTTCAGTTTCTAATGAGATGATAATGAGGTTTTTATTTTTCAGGTTGTTTATATGGTGGATTACACTGACCGATTTTCGTATGTTGAACCATCCAGGCATCTCTGGGATGACACCAACTTGATCATGGTGGATGATTTATCAGATGTGTTCTTAGATTCTGTTTGCTAGTGTTTTATTGAGCATTTTTGCACCAATGTTCATCAGTGTTATTGGTCTGTAATTGTTTCTTAGTAATATTTTTATGTGGTTTGTTTATCAGGTTAATTATAGTGTCATAAAAAGTTTGGCAGTGTTCCTTCTGTTTCTATTTTGTAGAACAACTTGAGGAGTATTGGTATTATTTCTTTGAAAAATCTTATAGAATTCTGTACTGAAACCATTTAGTCCTTGGCTTTTTTTTTTGTTTTGTTTTTTGGTTGGGAGACTGTTAATGACTGTATTTCTTTAGCAGTTATAGTTCTTTAATTTATCTGGTTTTGATTTAATTATGGTAGTTGGTATTTATCCAGAAAGATGTCCATTTCCTTTAAATTTTCCAATTTTTGTGAAGTACAGGTTTTCGAAATATGACCTAATGATTATCTCTCTGGATTTATGCCATGTCGGTTGTTATCACCCCCTTTTCATTTCTGATTTCGTTAATTTTTATATTGTCTCTCTGGAACCCTGCCAATCTTAATAATTTAAAGAACTATGCTCACCGAGTAGCCTGCATCTAATAATCTGTGCCACGAACTCATGTATTGCATTCATGTATAATAGGGTAATAAAATGCACCTATAATTTCAACTTGAGTTGGGCTTTAAAATTTCAATTTGTTTTAATCTATAGTGTTTATTCACTGACTTTTCTGTAGTATTGGGGTTTGTAGTTTACTGTTTCTCGTCATAGGTCATGTGTGTCCTTAATTAGTTGTCAATCTATTACAGTGTTCCTTCAGGTCAGCCAACCTTTGATCATCCTCCCTGAACACTTTTTGGGTATCACTGGGAAGTGCTTGCATGCACAGCTCTAAATTTCAAATTTTTTGGTAAGAATTTAAGAGAAGTACATGAGAAAAAAGGCTCCAGGGGTGGCTCAGCAGTTAAGAAAAGAAACACGTGAGTTTTGTTTGGTGTACTGGCTTGCTTTTTCTGCCAACTCAACACAAGGTAGAGTCATCAGAAGCAGGAGCCTCAGTTGACAAAATGTCAGATCCAGCTGAAAGGCATTTTCTCAATGAGTGATCCATGGTTCTATAAGAAAGTAGGTTTAGCAAGCCAGTAAGCAGCACTTCTCCATGGCCTCTGTATCAGCTCCTGCCCACTGGTTCCTGACCTCACTTCCTGTAGTGATAGACAGTAATGCTGGAGTGTAAGCCTAAGAAGCCCTTTCCTCTCCGACTTGCTTTTTGGTCATGATGTTTCATCATAGCAGTTGAAACCCGAACTAAGACAGATTATGCTCGTTATTTATTGGATGTTACATCTAAGAGACACATGGCCAATGTATGGCTATTTTGGGCACAAAAGTCTGAGGTAAATTGTTATTGGGCCCTGGGCCTTCAACATTCCAGCCTCTTCACATTAACTGTAGTTCTTATGAGCTTTAGTAGAGACACATTTTTTTTTTTTTACAAATTCTTTTTCACATCATGTAAACCGTGTCTCCTCAAATCTTTAAGAACTATAGGTGTGAAGTATAAAACCTCTTAGAAGCTATTAACTTATAGTCCCAAGATGTTCTCCCCATCTTGTTGTTCCCACCTCTCTGGTGTACCCACCAATGTATTTCATACTTGCCTTGATTTATGATTTTGTTCTGTAAAGCTATAAAAATCCTGTGAAACTGCTTCCATGTTGGAACACAGAATCTGGAACAAACTATGTTTACAGGCCATTGTCACTCAGAATGGCTCCAGAATAAACTATCTCTTGTTTCCTTTAAGATGGGAGTTGTGTGTCAGAGCTGGGCAGTGGTGGTCACACCTCTAATCCCAGCACTTGGGTGGCAGAGGCAGGCCGATCTCTGTGAATTCGAGGCCAGCCTGGTCTACAAGAGCTAGTTCCAGGACAGGCTCCAAAGCTACAGAGTAACCCTGTCTGGGGGAAAAAGGAAAAGAGGGGAGTTGTGTGTTTTATGTTGACACGGTGGCATAAACATGTTATCTCAGCACTTTGGGAGCTTAAAACAGTTGAATCCTTACAATTTGAGGCTCACCTGAACTACCTTAGGGAGAGCCTATGTCAAATTAAATACTAAGTCCCCATGCTTGCCTAGGTCTGTCATTCCACCTACTTTTTATATATATCTGCTTCAAAAGAAAAAGGGCTGGGTGTGTATCTCTGTGGTCGAGTACTTGCTCGTTTTGTTATAGGCACTAGGCTCAATCCCCAGTATCAAAAAGGGAATAATATATACATAAATCAAGGGTTGGTGATGTAACTCAGTGGTGAAACTTGATTGTAAGACTGTTTCTTTAAATTAATAAAGGGCCTAGATTAATTATTCCAGCCTCAGTACTGCAGACTGGCCAGGTGTGTGTTGGGAGGCACAGGATCACTGGCAAACAGTGCTTGAATACACATAAAGGAACAAGTAGATTTGTGATTGTTTACAGATTTTTCCAGGGCTCAAGTGCTTTCCTTTTACTTTTTCCTTACTTACTGGATAAACATCACCGAGGTAATTATGCAATGCAGAGAGAATTTATGTAGACAAAAGATGATGAGAGGTGGTTTTTGATCTTTGGCTTGGATTAGGAAAATCAAGAGTAAAATGGTGGCCTTGTAAACTAGCTCACTAACTCTGGACAAAATGGTTGACAGGCATTTCTCTTTTTCTTTGTTCTTTTTTTTTTCAGACAAAATGGGCGGGAGAAGAGGGTGCACGATGGCTCCACTGAGCTTACCTAGAGCATTACTGCCCCCAAGAGGCTTTAGTTTTAACAGATACAGTACAGCCAATGTTTCTTTCCCATAAGCCCCAGCCAGGAAGAGGACTGGCTGCCAAGCTGAAGCTCATTGTTTTCTAGACTGGGAGACAGCAGAAAGTAGGTGTACCCTGGAAGCTGGTGGAACTCCTCATAGAACCTGGAGATCGAGGGACCTGAACCCAGGGTTGGGATACTGAAAGTATTCTATCAAGTTTGGACTTGAGAAATGGGAAAAAAAACTCCGAGACAAATGCAAACTCTCCAGTCTAGATGGTGTTATGGTTTTGGTCCCTTTAAGAGACAAGACACACCCATTCCCCTCCCCATCTGCTGAAGCAGGCTGATCTTCAGCTTCCGGCCTGAGCTTGTTCTCTTTTCCATCTTCCTCTCGGAGAGGCAACTTTGCTTCTGCCTCTCTGCCCACTTCTCTGCTTCCCCCCTTCTCTGTCTTTTTCTCCTTTTCTCTTCTCTTCTCTTCTCTCTCTCTCTCTCTCTCTCTCTCTCTCTCTCTCTCTCTCTCTCTCTCTCTCCCCACCCTTCACCCTTTCTCCTCCATAACTCCCTGAATAAATATTCAACCTCACCCTGCATGTCGTGTATATCCATGTTTCTGTCTTCTGCCCGCCCGCCATGTGTCTCCCTGCCTGGGACCAGCCATTGCTCGGGAACCAGCAGCTGTCTCTGCCTGGGGCCCACTGCCTGCTGCCACATGGCTCGTCACCACCGCTCAGGGACCAGCAGCTGTCTCTGCCTGGGACTGGCTGCTCCCAGGGCCTGCTGCCTGCCACCATTTGGGACCTACAGCATTTTTTAAAAAAGAATAAGAGATGGCTCCTGCGCTAGAGAGTGAGACTTTGTGTCAAAGAATTTAAGGCAGGCTGGGTGGTGGTGGTTTTTGCCTTTAATCCCAGCACTCAGGAGGCAGAGGGAAACAGATCTGTGTGTGTTTAAGGACAGCCTGGTCTATAAGAACTAGTTTCAGTATAGGCTCCCAAGCTACAAGAGAAACCCTGTCTCAAAAAAACTTCTGGCAGTCTTGTGGGGTATGGTCGTGGTGGGTGTGGAAGGGTGTGTTTGCGTGGAGGGCATAGGTAGGTGTGTGTGTAGGAATGGGGTAGGGGGGGAATGTCCTAGGGTGTGTGAGAGACAGAGAGTGTATGTTCACTTTGAGCCTTAAAATCCCAATGAATTTTTTTTTTTTTACAGAAATTGAATAGGTAATCAATCCTAAATTTCACTTGGAATTTGAAGATGAGCAATTAATATAATATTGATTTTCACATATGAAAATCAAACAAGCCCCATATTTTATCACTCTTTCAACTATGTTTTCAACTAAAATACAGAAATATGTTAATATATGTCCACAGTTAAGGAGATGCCTGAGTTTGGGTAAAGCTATGCCCTTATGTTGTCTGTCAGTGTTGAAGATTGTTTGTTTGAATGTATTTCTGGGCAACATGCATATCCATTTTAAGAACTAAACAGATGTTAATGAATACTGATTGCATAAGAATGGATTGCACTGAAAGCTCTCAGGCCACACACATCTGGGTGACAGAATTAAGTTGCCACTTTTAACCATTGGATGCTTTTTAAAAATGTTTTTGGAAGATACAGTGTGCTTTTTCTATGTTTGAACAGACACTTTGTAGACTTTTCAATGGACCCTTTGTAGTCCAACTCTCACCATCTTGAACCTGAAGGGTCCACGAATAAGAATATAAAAATGTAGATTCCAGAAATAAGAATGTAAAAGTAAAGAAATATATAAAGTTGTAAGCCTAGAAAAATGAAAGCAGGCTGTCAGCAGCTTAAGTAATTAACAGCAGGTTGCTTTACAACTGCTGCTCTGTTTACAAAAGTGAAGCATCCCTCTACAAATTGAGGGTCAGCTTGGCAAACTTTGAGTGTTGGGGAATGCAGACCCTCAGACCCTGAACTTTCTATGACCCCTTGCCTGCCTGAGTAAGCAACTTGTTTTCCTATGCTACAGCTATTCTGAGCACAAGACCATCATGAGTTCCTGATGTCAGGGGAGTGGTTTCTGGTGGGCTTGCAGCTGAAAAATCCAGAGAGCTAGGGCATGGCCATTAGTCAAGGAGAGCACTATAGAAGCTGTCCTGGAATACAATAAAATTGGCATTCTTGTTTCAAGAGTGACCAATGTCTCTGGTTTTTTTTTTTAATTCCACAGTTCCAGGTGGCGCAGATGCCACTTATGACCTGAAATTGATGCGAGCTGAGTTAACTTTTAAATGATGTACGTGACTTTTGACTCTTTGGTTTTATATTGTCCCATATCCTTCCCTGCTATGTGAAACTGGCTGGCCGTGTCAGGAGAGGTGCAGACAGAGCCTTGGTAAACACTATCAAGGGATACCAGGGAAGACAATAAATTAAGTACAAACACTAGTTTGCCTGAAAAACTGTTAATGGAAATTGCAAAGAAGGGCAACTTGTATCTGAGTTTTACCTTGAGATTGTAAAAATTCTCTTGTTATTGCCTAATGCTTGCTATAAAAGGAGTTAAAAAACCAGCCCTCTGCTACAGCCTTAAAATCTCTGGCTGTGGTCTCAGCTAGCTGATAAGCTTTTGTGCCCTAGGGAGATTTTTTATTTTATTTTCCTGGAATCTGGTTTCTGGAATAAAGTTTGCTTCTTGTTTATTAGACTTTGCAGGTCTGTCCCCATTTTTGTGTGAGCCCCGTGGACCCAACAAACCCACTTCTTTGATGCATCCAACATATTTGAAAGTTGTCTTGATTATGACTTTCTTTGTTCTGTTAAACTATTTAAGAAGCCCCATTAAACTGGGTCGTGGCCACTCAGAATGGCTCAAGATTAAAACTAAAAAGATATCTAATTCCCTTTAAGGTGAGAGCTGCGATTTTTACATCAATACCAGAAACTCCCTAGAAACTTTTTAGAGATAAAATACAATTACATTAAGTTTAAAAAAGAAGAATGCCAGCCTAATTCCTGGGTGCCAAAGGACTGACTAGTGCCTAGGTCAGAATATGGAGAATACTGGGAAGTAAATCTGGATGAGAACCATGATTTGTTCTTCTCTAATCCTGTGGTTAAGCATTTTCCCTTCCTTCCTAGGTCTGGATCCTCTAGATTTGCCCTCAGAACCACCAGAAAATCTGATACTATGTAGAAGCCCTCGGGATAGAAGGCTGCTGTACAGAAATCCGAAGACTTGGTCGTGTGGATACTAACTTCTTTGAAAAGATGGTTCTAGATTAGTGGGTGCCTTAGGCCTCAATTCATTTTTTTTCCATAGTTTTGGTACTGGGATAAAATTCTAGCCTTTACTAATATATCTAATTTGCTAATATATCCTAATTTGCTATTGATAGCAAATGGAAACCAAATGGTAAATTCTTAGATAAACTCACTCTTTTTCAGATTGAGGAAAAAAGGTTCTTTTGGGATTTTTTTTTCTCTCAACTTGGCAGGACTGGAGCAGAGTCAACTTGAAGCTTATGGAGCAATCCTGCCATCCTGCGGACAAGTTTCACAAACCCCCTCAGATACATTATTCCATGCAAGTCTCTAGAAGTTCCTAGGAAGGCTGAAGCTATGGGAACTGATCCCAGACTCCACAAATCTTTACAATATTTTCCTCTATGAGTACCACGAAGCCTTATGCACTAGTGTAGTCAGTCTTGACGTGTAACCTAGTGACAACGTGACCAGAACCAAGTGCACAGTTGCCTAGACATGTAGGCAGAGGCTTTGGAGGGAGTGGAAATTCAGGTGTTTTTTTTTAGATTAAAAAAGTTTGTATTTATTACTGTTTTGTTATTTTCAATAATGTGTACATTATTAAATCAATTCAGACACACCCTCCACAGGAGCAGTGCATAAAACTGAACCATTCCTCTAGCCCCAAGCTTGGAGTCTCTGTAAAAATTAATTTCTCTGAAGTGTGTCTTAGCATTAAATTTCCATTGGGAACAATTGGCTGATTTAGCAAGACTGAGGAATCCAGAAAGGAACACACCCCCCCAAGGGCATGGTGATTTCAGGAGAAAGCTTGCATGTGGCTCCAAGGGAACTGAGTAGTTGACAAGGGCCCCAGGAACATAACATTTATATCTAAGAGGGGCGCTGTGTTTTTTCCAAACTTGAGGATCCCAGTTGGTAGTCCTAATGTCTTCCTATATCAGTATTTTTGTCCAAGGGTCGTCTTTGCAGGCTCCTCCTCTTTAAGTACCATTAGTGTCTAGGCCTCTCCTAAATCCTTTGGAAATGATATGATGTCCCCCTTCCCTAGCCTAATCTTCTAAGACCTTTAGGCCAGTCCTTCCCTTTCAGGTAAGCTGCACAGAAAAGAACTTGGTGTTTTATGTATTCTCTCGTGTTAGTATAGATCTGGACAATTCCTGAATCTTCCTCATGAGCAAGAAAAAGAAGCTACGACATGTAGTTACAGTTCACTTTAGCCTTGGTGGTATGATTTACTTTAGTCAACTAATTGGCTAGAATATCATTTTGACTCCACCATAGGATTGATTTGGTGAATAAAGGCAGAAAAGGGGACAAGCACTTAAAGTCCATAGAACACCTTTGTTTTATTTTTATTTTGAGAGACAAAATCTAGATGTGTATCCCTGAGTAGTGTTGCCTCAGCATTGGGCTTGGGGTAGTTTCCGTGTTTTAAGGTATTTCTAACGAAGCTAAGTAAACAATGTGAACCCTAAGTGGTGCAGGAGAATTGTCCCTATTCTGTCAATCATGTTTTAAATAAACGCTGATTGGCCAGGCAGGAAGTATAGGTGGATCAGACAGGAAGTAGATGCGGGGTGATGAAAACAGAAGAATTCTGGGAAGGAAGAAGCCCATTCCTCCCAGTCCTGCCCAGACCATGGAAGAAGCAAGATGTAATCTGCCAGGCTGAGAAAGGTAAAGAGCCATGTGGCTAAGGAGATAAGAACAATGGGTTAATATGAGCTACAAGAGTTAATATGAAGCCTGAGCTAATGTGCCAATCAGTTTTATAACTTATGGAGATATCTGTGATTTTGGGGCTTGCCAGCTGTGGGATATCTGGCGGGACAGAAACCCCAACAAGCAGGCCCTTCATGTTACACCTAAGAAAAATGTATATAGATGTCCCTGGGAAGGGGAAATAAACAAGATTTCCCAACAAAATTGGGGGGGGGCAGGGTAGGTCTTAAGGGAATAGGATAATTGAGATGGAGGAAGGACTGGAATATTTTGATTGAGGGAGCCATCATCGGGCAAACAAGAAACCTGGCACTAGATAAATTCCAGGACTCTACAAGGATGACCCCAGCTAGGACCCTAAGCAATAGAGGAGAGGGGGCCTGATCTTGACTTGCCCTCTAGTCAGTCTGATGAATATGAACCTAGAACCTTCATCCAGTAACTGATGGAAATAGACAGAGACCCACAGTAGAGCACTAGACTGAGCTCCCAAAGTACAGTTGAAGAGTGGGAGGAGTGAGAATATGAGCAAAGAGGTCAAGACCATGATGGGTACACCCACTGAAACAGTTTATGTGAGCTATGGGAGCTCACCAACTTTAGCTTGACTGGGAAGAAACCAGTATAGGACCAAACCCTCTGAATGTGGGTGACAGTTGCATGGCTGGGGTGGACTGAAGGGCCACTGGCAGTAGCACCAGGATTTATCCCTACTGCTTGTACTGGCTTTTTGGGAACCTATTCTCTTTGGATGGATACCTTGCTCATACTAGATATAATTGGGAGGGCATTGAACCTTCCTCAAAGCAAAGTGCCTTACTCTCTCTGAGGAAGGGGTAGGGTGTGGGGGAGGGAGGAGGGGAAGGAGTGGGAATTGGGATTGGTATGTAAAATGCTAAAAGATATCTCTACCAAAAACTTCATAATTCCAAATGCTTCTTTTTATTATTGTTTAATACTAATATTCTTTCAGCCTCTCCTTCAAAAGGAGAAAATATTTATTGTCCATCCCCAGTCCCAAAGCAAGACTCAAGAGATGTTTAAGACTCATTAGAAACCTATACTGATTATGAAGACAGCCACTTTAGGCTCAGGCTGTCATCAACAAACTCCATTTGTCCATCACACACCACTGTATTCTTTCTCTGATACTTTAGAAAAGCAACCATTTTACAGGGGAACAAATACCTTTCCTGTATACAGTGTATTGGTACAGTATCTTATGCTGTTTGAGCTCACGGAGAAGCTGACTCTGGAAGTGGGACTTGGCCTTCCTACTTAAGATCCAAGCATGATTGAAAGAATGCTCCTAAACCTCTTGTCCTTGGTCAGTCTAGGCACTTAGGGAAGAGAGAGCAACGAAACAGCCCAAGAGTAAAGGCACTGTATCCTTAAGGAAGAGCTTAGAGTAAACTTATTTCCAACAGAGGTTTCTATTGTTTAATCTCTAACAGGAAGATGTCTGTGAAGAACACAGGTAATGGGGTACTCATTCCCAGAAAGGACTTCATCTGCAAACCCTCAGTAACACCAGCATCACAGTTCTAACAGGCCTTCTTCAGTTGAAACACTGATTTGATGATAGTTTGCTATCTACCTGTTGGTCTGTTTCTATATGGTACCTACACTCACAGAACACCAAAAGCACAGGAATGGTAGATCACTCTTTGGACCATACAGAGTATAAAAAAGATCTTTGAGTCTCTTGTCTTTTCTATGAGGTTTGCCTGGTAATTTACAAAGCCATGTCAACAATATGTACATAGCTAATCTTTATTATGTTATTCTATGCATATCATTTAGATCCAACTATCATTTAATCAATAAGATGTTACTGTGATATTAAAGAAAGAAATAAAAGGGAACTCATAAGTAGCAAGAGATGAAATATTAAAAGAATGTGGAAGCTTAGTCCTAAATGAAGATCATTGGATGTTTCCAACATGGGAAGGTCTAGGCAGATTAATATGTAAGATTAAAATTTCTAATGTCAAAGACCAGCCAAACCTATTTAAATCAATAGAATTCTCTTAAGTTAATGATATCCTTTTGGTAGTATTCACAAGGACTGAGTCAAACAATCAAAATTGTCTACTCAAGACTTATTTATAATGTTTGACTTTTGGCAAACTTCATCTAAATGTTTCCCAAATGTTAAAAAAGATACAAGAATGGTATAACTGACCTGGGTTTTTAATAATCATAATTAGAAGCCTATACTAATGTGGACAGAGTGGTTAAATGGGACTGTATTTTGGCCCTTTCCCTCAAAGGGCTTACAACTCTGGCAAGTCACCTGTCTTCCTGATCAGAGAGCTATGGAGACCCTACAAGGTGGACTCTCACCAGTTTACATTAGCATTCATACATTCTATGAACAGAAGAGTCCATACAAAAGAAAATCCCCTCAATGCTTCAAAAGAATGTTGTCAGCAATGCCTTGTGACTTGTGTGCAATAGGTGGTACGAGTGGTAAAAATAAAGAAAAAGAAGCTAAGAGTCTGAGGGTCTCCAAAGGAAGACCAGATACTCAACAGGCTTTAACAGTAAAAGGAAAGTTATTTTGGGGTGTATAGTCTTAAGCAAGTAGAAAAGTATACAGATTAAAAATTATATATAAATATATACATTAAATAACTACACAAAATTATTAATATGTATAATTATGTATAGGATATATTTGGGTCATACCAGACATTAGGCTTATAATCTATGAGAGATGTTTTTAGAAAACCATTTCTGACTAATGCTTTTGATGAGGAAAATGCTGGGTAGACAGAAGACTTCAAACTTCAGGTCAATTTTAACACTGTAGCACGCACATGGGAACCTACAGTTGAGAGAGACAGGGATACTGTTCTAACCTCCAAATCATATGCTACTTAAATATCATTTCTTATTTATGTGGGTGTTTTATCTTTGCTGTGGGACAATGTTATTTTAACTTGTCTCTTGTATTTTTAATAAAATGCTGATTGGCCAGTAGACAGGCAGGAAATATAGACAGGGCGGCCAGGCAGGAGGTAGAGGCTGGGCAATGAGAATGCTGGAAGAGGGAAACGCAGTCTGTGGTCGTGACCCAGCCTCAGAGGAAGCAAGATATGACTGCCTCACCATAAAAGGTACCAAGCCACGTGGCTGATTCAGATAATTAATATGGGCGAATGTAAGTAAATCAGTAAATAAGAAGCCTGAGCTAATGGGCCAATCAGTTTATAACCAATGTAGACCTCTGTGTGATTCTTTGGGACTTAACGGCTGTAGGATAGGGTGGGACAGAAAACCTTGTCTTTGTGTGTTTGATGCCTGCAGAAGCCAGAAGAGGGTGTCAGATCCCCTGAGACTGGAGTTATTGACAGTTGTAAACAACTATGGAGGTGCTGGGAATCAAATGCTCCAGAAGAACAGCCAGTGTTTTTAAGCACTAAAGCATCTCTCCATACCCTACACCCAACTTCTCTTTTGCCTTTAATCCTTGCCTCCCATCTCCAGTGGAGGACTTCCTCACTATACATAGCTATTATATAAATACATTTATTAATACACTTTTTAGGTCTCTTACTTGAGGGAGGCCCACTGAAAGGGTACTCAATGACCACACCCAAAGCCCTGAAAATGATGTCAAAATTCTTTAACTGCCAGTTAAGAGTTAACTCTTAGAAATGGTGAGATCAGGAGATGGGAGCTGGCTAGGTAATTTAGGGTCAAGGACCTTCAAAGGAACAATTCTAGGAATGTCTTTGGTTCCCCAGGCAAAAATGTTTTGTTATCTTGAGCTGGAGTTAGTTGTCTGTGAGCCACCTGACATGCCTGCTGAGGACCTAACTTGTGTCT